TTGTTGAAAAGTTTTATATCTAGATATTTTGATTTACTGAGAGTATAACATTTTTTTGATTAGTTGAGTATTGGAGGACTAAAAAAACAATAGCTGCAGTCCTGACAGAGCATTTTTTATGATGTTTAGGGCATCCTTTACATGCAACCAGGGGAATTGAGGGAGGTAATGGAATCCAAAAACCGCATCCTATCAAAAAGACAGAAAATGTCTTCCCCTCCTCTCACTAAACCCAGAGACGAAAAAAAAACAAAAAACAATAATATAACACTGTTTACGTTACAGTATTATGTTTTAGACTCCGGAAAATGTCCTTTTCAGGTTCCCATACATTGGGATAAAGGAATAAAAACTGCATTTATGGCCTAATACTGATACCTTTTTTAAATGTTTCAGATTTTGTATTGTCTTTTTTTTTTTCAAATTTAATTATTTAAAAATTTTGGTTGACTTGATTTTTATGAGTTGCATTCCTTTCAAATCCTATTTTAAAGAGGAGAGATCTGTAAAACCTGATTTAGGGAGAAAAAGCCCAACTAGTAAAATCAGTCTTCGCTTCAAAAAATAAAAAAATAAACTCAAATCTGAAAAAATGGCAAACTGCATAAATATTGGTTAAACTTTTGCATGCAGTATTTTTGCATTACTCTTAAAAAGTTTGTTTTAATGGAGATATTTTAAAAGTGTGAGTTTGAGAAAAAGAAAATATATATGTTGTTTTTGTTGTGGTTATTGGTTTAATTACTTTTCTTTTGTCAGTGTTCCTTAAAGGCCAGATGTGTACAAGCTAGTGTAGTAAAACTCTCTCCTGAGCTGTATGTCACTACAGCTCCTCCAAAGCTACCATGGGTCTGATTGCATCTTTCTTGATTGATGCTGTTGTTGTCCTGCTTGAAGATTCTATCAGGTCCTGATACTCTCCTTCCCTTTTTAGATGATAAATGGAATGGGTTTCTCCATCCATCTATCTATTTTCCATCACACTTTATCCCAGCTGGGGTCGCAAGGGGTGCTGGTGCCTATCTCCATCTGTCTAGGGGCGAGAGGCGGGGAACATCCTGGACAGGTCGCCAGTCCATCGCAGGGCAACACAGAGACAAACAGGCAGAGATGGGAAATGTGGAGTCAACAAGTCATCTCCATGTCATGTATTTAATCCACCCAGCCAATTAACCAGGTGAGTCCAATCTGCACGGGTTGATTCACGGTGTAGATTGGACTCACCTACTTCAGTGGTTGGGTAGATTAAATACATGATATGGAGATGACTTGTTGACTCCACATTTCCCATTTCTGCAAACAGGACAAAGAACCATCTACACACACTCACACCTAAGGAGACTTTGGCTACGTTCACACTGCAGGCCTTGATGCTAAATTCTGATTTTTTTTGTGAAATCTGATTTTTTTTTTTTGCGTTGCTGTTCACATTTCCAGATATGAGACCTGTATGTGATCTCCTGTGTGAACTGCAGTCATACAACACAAGTGTCCTGCATGCGCAGTAGAGGACGCGATGATGTCACGTGCCGGCGCGCATCTAGCGGTCTTTTCCAACCATAAAAACTCAATCTTTTTAATATTTTTAAACATAAATACTGCTCTCTGCATCATCTGCCATGGTTGTTGTTTTTCTTGTCGCTTCTGCGTAGTAAGACGCAGAAAAGTGACCTTTGTCGGGTATTAATGACGTTCAGGTCGGAGGAATCCGCGATCAGGTCGGAGGAATCTGGCCGTTAAGACACAGGTCGCATTTGAAGAGATCAGATTCGTATCGGATTCAGGACCACATAGCCAAGTGGCCTGGGTCGTATTGGAAAAAATCGGATCTGTGTTGTTCAGACTGTCATGAAAAGATCAGATCCAGGTCGCATATGGGCAAAAAAAATCGGATTTGGGTCACTTCAGGTTGCAGTGTGAACGTAGCCTTAGAGAAGACAATTAACCTAACAGGCATGGGTTTGAACTGTGGGAGAAAGCCAGAGTACCCAGAGAGAACTCACACATGAACAAGGAGAACATGCAGAAAGACCCCGGGCCAGGAATGGAACCCAGAACCTTCTTGCTGCAAGGCAGCAGTGCTACCCACTGTTCCACTGTGCAGCCCAGAATGGCTTTCTAATAACTCTGCTTTAAATTTAACCACAAATTGACCCAAGAAAAAACATCTTAACAAAAAAAACATGTAAAAATGGAGATTTAAATGGGTGAATCGAGTGAGGTATGCAAATAAAACAAATGCAAAAAGGAGACAGATTTTTGCTCCTCATGATCCTCTAAGCATGCTTGTTATCGCCTCTTGCTGATGTTCATTTCATTAATGTTCCTGCAATCTCTGTGCACTCATGACTCCATGCAGTCAGAGGAAGCCCTGACCCCTCAGGGGGGGCTGCACTGTGAGTCAGGAGGAAAAGTCCAACACTAATGTGGAAAAAGGAAAAAGAAAACGACTGCAGATGGTCTTCATAGTTTACATTTTGTCTTCCTCTTTCAAGAATGTGTGTGTGTGTGTGTGTGTGTGTGTGTGTGTGTGTGTGTGTGTGTGTGTGTGTGTGTGTGTGTGTGTGTGTGTGTGTGTGTGTGTGTGTGTGTGTGTGTGCGCATCTGAGTTCTCACGCATACTGTATTAGGGGCCAGCTGGGTTGGCCTGGGCTCTACACATGAGCCTGATTATGACTCAGTATTGCATTACTGACATTCCTCAATAGATATTTTCTTTTTCTCCGTTCCTCTTCTTCTTTCCCTTCTTTCCAGCTAAACCTTCCCTCATTCTGCTCCTCCGTGACCCTCACAGCAAAGCCCTAAACGCGTGGCACATTAACCATTTGTCTCCACATCATTTAGTTTTTTTTTTTCTTTCTCTCTCTCTCTGGTGGATGTTGAAGCTGTCGGTGTGAGTTACACATGTTGCTATGGCCCTAACACTTCAGCCCAGTATACCACATGCAGCTGAGGAGAAGGACCAAGATAGGAGGCGAGGGGAGGGGCCGGGAATCGGAACAGTCGGAGCCCGCTCGAAGAAAATGTCAGAAGATGCAGGAGAATGAGGGACGAGCCTCTCGGCCCCGTGATTGGCTCAGTAGTTTGAGCTTGTCTGCATGTGTGTTTGAGGAGTTGTGGGCGTGTTTTAGGAGGGGAGAAACACGGCGTGGCGCCATCAGTAAAAGGAGCTGACGGAGACAGTTTTTGGACAGCGGGATCAGGTGGATGAAACACAAACCTTGAGATAAGGGAGTAAGTGACAGGTAGCAGCTCCCCGTTTAAAAATCCCACACTGGGTTAATCCATGAGGAGGAGGAGAAAAGGAGCGACTGCTCATACTCCTCCTCACGGCTCAGCTTTTTATGCAGCACTGGATCGAGGAGCAGCCTCCTCCGTCTCTCCTTTACTTTCGTCCTTCCTCTGCCACTTCCTGCCCCCCTCCCCACCCCTTTTCCCAGTTACCTCTCGAACATTTGCCTCGCCAATCTGTCCTTCCTTTCCTCTCTCTCTCTCTCCCCCTTCTCGCTCAGTCTCCTCTCTCTCCCTCCCTGACTTCCTCCTCCCTCCCTCTGTGTCCCTCCGTGTCACTGGAGAGTGTCTCAGTGTGAAAATGCCATCCTGTTCTCCAGACTGTTGCCTCTTACAGGCTGTGGAGGTAAGGGACCTGTGTGTGTGTGTGTGTGTGTGTGTGTGCGTGCGTTTCTTCTCCGATCTTCTGTTCTGAGGCTTACATCGGGGTTTTTCACGTGAGCGACCAGTTGGCAGTTTTCAACCGTATGGATCTGTGTCGGTTTTCTTGACTTTGTGTTTTTAAAAGTTTTCTTAAACTAAACCTACGCATCTTCCGTTAACTTTGCCGTTATTGTGTGTTTGCTTGTGGAGAGGCATGTGGGAAGAGAGGAGGCAGGCTTCGGGCTTTGCAGAGGGCAGAAAAAGTGCAGTGACGTTGTTTCGGGTTTCAGACTGAGTCTTTGTGTCTGTGTTCTGGTGCTGGGGATGTTTTGTGGGGGTTTTTTCGTGTGTTTTAAGCATTTTGTTTTAAATATTGCGTCTTCTTAACTTTGCTGAGCTTTTGTCAGGCTTCATTTTCCGCCCCCTCCCTCCTCACGTCCAGCCCCTTATAGCCATCACCAGTTCTCTGTCTCTTCATGTCATCTAAAGCAGCGGCTTCCTGTGCAGAAAACGTGTCAATTTCTGCTTCCACAAGAGTTAACAAACAAGCACGCACACCTATAAATGGTTTTTGGAGCGTTTTGGTGTCGTCTTTTTGGTTTGCAGACACTTTCTGACGCTGGTTCCCTCAGAGAGGGAGTCCTGTGCTGTCAGTCTAGCGCTGCTGGGGTGAGGGTTATCAGTGGAGCGCCGCACTCGAATGAGGGCAACATTACACCCGGTTTAAATGTCGCTTTGGGCACTGGGCTGGAATGGTTCAAAATGGCGCAACAATGGGAGGTTCTCCAGCGTTAAACCCGATCCGTTTGCTGCTCCCAGCGGTGACATTTTTTATGACAAAATGCAACATGTATAAATCTAACGGGTTATTTCACTGACCAAGTGTGACTGTGGGACTTTGTATAGATCTGTGTTTGGCTCAATCTTGTGTCCGAATGGTTTGGTTCCTTGCGTGTGTGTGATTTCTGGGATCAGATGCATACTCGCTGGGTTTCGTTGGACTAAGTTTTTGGCTGCGCTGTGGACAAAAGGGCTGAACTAAAGGCGCAGGGGCAGGCCAGCCTTTCCTGGACGTCATCCCTCTGTTTTTTTTTCTAAAAACTCCTTTCATGTTCGAGTGACAGAATCATGTGAACAAGACCTTTTTTAAGGGTGGACCTGGTCATGGAGGTAAATTTAGACACTGCTGTTTTCCTTTTATGTGGTTTTCTTTCATATTCTCCGTATAATCTTAATTCGTTGAAGCCAACTCGGGACACTCCGCACACATCACCTTTTTCTCTTCTCTCCTGGTGGCGGAAAACAAGACCTCCACGGCTCTTACGTTCATCTGTGTGTGTTTTCAGATTGTGAAGGTTTGGAGCGAGGATGGTGCCGGCAAAGTGGTGGAGATCCCGGCAGACATGACGGCGAGAGATGTGTGTCAGCTGCTGGTCTACAAGAGCCACTGCGTGGACGACAATGCCTGGACGCTGGTGGAGCACCACCCTGTCCTCGGCCTCGGTAAGGGAACTTGTTCAAACGTGGCTCTGATGCACCGATGCGTATCTAGAGCAAAATTTTTTCATTTTGCAATAACATAAAATAGAGCCTTCCTTAAGCTTTGTTAATACAGATTATTGCAATCAAAGTAGCCAAGTTAAATTAACCTTAATAGTTCACCAAAGCCCCAATATACACACTTAAAAGCATGTAAACCAGGTTAAGGAGGATTATATTTCCTCTATAGCCCTCTATTTGCCTACAGTGCATCTTTTTTGCTCTTGTGCATCATCACTGAACTCTTCCGTGCATCTGCAGAGGTAGACAGACTCTCCAGGGTGTGCCTATTGTGCTGTGCAAGACTTGAATTGGATCTTATCAGGGTAATGGCGCAAAACAATGAGATTTTATATCAATGAATGTTTTGAAAACACTTTATTTTATGTTCCTAAAGGAAACCCTAAAAGCTAAAGCTGTTTTCTGTTATTCAATACCAATGCGGACTGCAAATCTGCAATCTAACCCTAACCTTTCAAGCGGTGGCTTTGTCAAACTGTCTCTAGAGCTGCAGAATATCAATTAGTTCAGTTTCAGGAACTTGAAGCTTTTTTTTACTAATCACCTTATATAGATGTTAGTGATCAAGGTCAGAAAGGTCAGGGAGGAAACTTGGGTCATTTTTATGATGGTGGTTTGTGTGGTTTGGTAACATCCGTTATTTAGCAATACTAATAGTCATAGTGCAGCATTGATTTCCGCATTTATTCCTGGTTTTTGGTGAAGTCTAACTCCTGAATAGCCGACTTTCAGATAATTTTTCTTTTCCTTAGCTTCTTTTCTCACCAATGCTGATGATGGCTAACGGAGTCTTGCTCCTTTAGTAACGGAGGGTAGTTCTGTTTTCTTCATCAGGCCAGTGGAGCTGGAACCAGCCAATTTCAACCTAAAACCCTTAAGGTTGATGCTTTTCAAGCTGAGGGTTGATTTTAAGTTACATGTGTGGAATAAACCTAAACCTGTCCCTTTCTTCTTTTATGAATTCACTTTAGCTTGAGCTGCATGCGTGTATGCCTGTGTCTCCCTACCAGGGAGGTGTGGCAGCTATGGGATTATCCCTTTTCCATGTTCTACTTACAGTCCCTGCACCCTCCCTAATAATTTGCTCAAGGGGCTGGGGGGGGGGGAATGGAGGGGGGTGACTGCTATTCCTCCTCACTTTTGCCGTGACTCCCTTTGAAGCTTTATTAATTTCTTTTTTTCAGTCTTATCTGAATCTTTCTTTGTCCTCTGTGAGGCTTTCCTACCAGCGTCGTATTTTTAGAATCAAAGAATTGCTTTGTGCTTCTTCTTTTTTTTTTTTTTTTTTCTGCTTGATCTGTGTTTCTGGAAAAAAAGTACACTGGAGAGATGGAATGTGAGTTGCAAAGAGTGAGGAAGGGGGGAGAAAGAAAGGGAAGGATGAAGGAGAAGGAGACCGAAGAGGAGGAGGGGGGGGACTGGGGGCCAAGAGGCCTGGACTTAAGCGTCATTCCAGAGCCGCAATGAGCCAATGACGGCTCTCCGTCAGACGAGCCCCTAGCGTTTCTGGCCAATCAATCTTCCTTTTAACCCTGCACAGGAAATTCCCCTGGTTGTAGCCAGCATGCTTGTGAGCGCGCACACCAACCGAGTCCAGACATTTCCACCCCCAAAGTGCAGCCAGAGAGCTGTTTTTAGCACCAACGGCGACCACGGTTTCACAAAAACAATGTGGGATATTTGTTTTCGTTAGACCGTCAGAGGAGAGGGTTATGCCCGTTCAAAACACTTTTTCAAATTATTTTTATTATTAGCTCCAGGAAAATGTTGGAACTTTTAAACCTTCAGGTTTCAGGAGCAGTCTGACCAATGAAAGCACTGACTGGGCTCCTGGGGCAGAGAGCAGGTTAGGCCTGTGGGAGCTCTTAATGTCTGCTTGTGTGTTTGCGGCTTGTACTTTGCTTACTGCGCTGCTGCTCTCTGCAATCAGCCTAAATACATGACATCATCCTTTCTGCAATCCCCCCCCCCACCCCCCTTCACCCTCACTTACTCCTCCTCCATCTCACACCACTTCTCCTCCACCTTCAGTGCCTGGCAGGCAGGGAGGAGGTGCAGCCCCTCCTCATTTTAAACATCAGATCCAGCCCCTCACTCGTCTCATAGTAACAGGCAATTTTTCTTGCTGTGTCATTGTATGCAAGAGTTGAACTGGGGATGTGATGATAAATATAGAAGCAAGCCCCTCTGGTGGTGGTCTGAATGGAGAAAGAAAAGACAGTTAATCCAAACACTGTTCATTTGTGCTGCAGGACTGGAGGGGATGAACCCGGTTAGCACTTCTGACTGGGTTCTACTGGGGATTTTACTCTGTGCTGGTTTGTTATCAAGATTTAATGGCTGCGTGTCACTGGAGGAATGACCCTCAATGTACAAAAGCTCCTTTAGGATTTTATCCCCTTTTTAAAAAATTTTGAAAGCATATTTATTAGTCATTTGTAAACTGTGTTAAAAGGCTGAATTTCTGAGGAATAGTTTGCCATGGACTGACAGACAAAAAATTAAACAGAAATAATAGAAACATGGATAAGGAGCAATATTAAAGGAAGCTACCGATTAGCACTGAAATATGTCACTTTTTGTTACATGATCAGCAAATCATGAGTAATCTAGAGTTATTTGAGTTTACAGTTTGGTTAACTAAATTTATTGTAAATTACAATATAATCTAAAAGGTTCTATATCATATAAAGTGAAGTATAGCTATAAATAAGATTTAATTTTGCCCTTCGCACTCAAGTGTGGGGACCGCCTGTTTCATGTTGCTGTGGCATCATGCCACTTCTGGCCATTAGCCTCTTCTTTTAGAAGAGGGAAGAGAGTCTGAGATCTCTGGCTGAAAAAACAGTTTCTGTCACTGTGCAGATTAGCTGCTATTAGCTGCTATAAATTTTGAACCGAAATGACCCCCTTCAGCCTCATATAACAGCTCGCTCGGCAGAAAAGTGGCCGTGTTTTCTACGCAGACACAGCATGCTAGGAGTAAGTACTTCCTGGTGCGGTCAGGGCAGGGGTGGGCAATTCCAGTTCCTGGGTACCAGTATCCTGCAATTTTTAGATCCATCCTAGGTCCAGCACATCTGAAAAAAATAACTAATTAGTATGCTGTCAGTTCCTCCAGAGTCCTCTCAATCCTCTAATTACTTAATTCAGGTGTATTGAACCAAAGGCATATGTGAAGGTTTCAGGATACTGGCCCTCAGGAACTGGAATTTCCCACCACTGGCCCCAGATTTCGCTGGGAGTTAGAGGGATATTGGCTGCCATTCGGCTGCCGTTTGACTGGGAAGGGCCATTTTGAATGGCTGCCACTGTCTATGCATTGATTCTAACTAGCTAAAATGATACCCTATGCAATAACCTGTTTCTCTACATTTGACACCCAGTGCAATAGCTAAGTTTAACTTTACATAAGATTAAACTTTTAAGCAGATGTTTTAAGCAGACAAAAGGTATTTCTGCCCAGATGAAATAAAATTTAATTAATGTTTTTTTTCAGTGAGACATTTAATTATTTAATTGTGCATTGGACAATTTGATGGTATATTCAATATCTGAATCATGCTTTAGTAAAAAAAATAAATGCTACAATTAGTTATTTTATGGTACATTTCTTTATTTAAGGTTATATTTTGGCCCTCCATATGTTACGGATTACGTCACAATGATTGTTAAACCATCTCATCGCACCTGCTTCGTGGTGTCTTGTCCAATCCCCCCCTGCATTAGAAACCCTGCTCTGTGCATTTTGAGGGAGCTTAAACAAAAACAGAACATAAACATGTTTCCCAGGTACTGTACAGCTGTAGCCGACTAAAATGTTTTTTCATTAGAATTTCATTCATGAAGTTAGAGAGAAGAACGTTTTTCCTTCCTGATGTTTTCTGAGGCTAAGTCGGTCCGTCTTGTCTGTTCTTGCAGAGAGGTGTCTGGAGGATCATGAACTGGTGGTTCAGGTTCAAGCCTCCATGAGCAGCGACAGTAAATTCCTCTTCAGGAAGAACTATGCCAAATATGAATTCTTCAGGAACCCCCTGGTGAGTCTCTCCCATCCCTGATATGACCTCTCTGTGACTGTTTGCTCTTGGCACGCACCTCCTCTCTCCAACACACACTGCAGAGTTTTAGTTTTTTCTTGGTAGTTCTGGATTTATATAGTTACGGGCTACATTTCTTCTCTTCTACCAGTTTCTCTAGACTCAGTGAGTTTAAAGCTGCTCCTTGAGCTCGTGTCTCTTCACACGCTGCGAATCTCACGTTACATGCTGACGAATGGCGATAAATCAGTGCTCACATGCTGATGTTAGGTGTAACGTTTCACCATCTGTAGGTCAGTATGTCAGCAGGATACCAGTTGTTGACAAGCAGCGAATGTATAACTTCAGTTCATGAAGATTTATGCTTCTAATAGCCTGAGCTAGAGCTGGTTAGTTTTGCCTTGAATCAAAATGTTTTATTAGTTTGTTTTGTTTATTTTTTTTCCTAACAAAATTGGTTTGTGGTTCCTTTGTTTTCATGACCTTGAATGCTCTGTTGTCCAGAGTCCATTGTCGTCAAACCTTACAGTTTAATGGAAACGTCCTTACTTCTACTTGCATCCATGGATCTGCACATTAGCTAAAGCACCAAAATATGGGCAGAGAAAGCTACAAACAAAAGCTCCACCGCTGGTCCTCCGTGTGGTGTGGTCCGGCCTGCCCCCGCGGTGCTCTCCAAAGAACAGCAGGATTTCTCATGCCCTTCAAGCTGAACATAGACGCCTCTCATATCAAAGGACCATTGGCGCCTCCAGAAATGTTTCATGGGGTGGCCAAATGGGGCCACTAAAAATCTTGGGGTGGCAAATTGAAACTAAAGGCCATAATTTCAGGGTTTTAATCTACTAATGTGGTAAACCTGCCTGTAGAAATCATAACGACTTTAGTAAACACCTATTCATGTCTTGGTTTAGTGTGTGATTTTTTATTTTACGTCGCCGGCTGTGCATATTGGGATGAAATGATAAACTGATGCCACTACAATTAACACTGGCTAGTGGGGGCATTGCACAGGGTGGCTGTGGGCCACCCCTGGCCACCCCCTGGTGGCGCCACTGTAAAGGACACGGGAGGCTGGCAGGCTGACTGTCTGTTGACATTTGTAACAGCGCTGCGACGCATGTGGCAACTAGACGTTAATCTTACAGGTCTAGCACCCCTAGTGGCCAAAACGTACACATTGTGCCTTTAAATGTAACATGCGATTTGGAGACTTTTTTATTTTGCTTTTATTGCACACCTAGTTTAAACCCTAGTGTATATTTCACGTTTTTACTCAAGCTGATGTTATTCACTTTTAAACCCTGCTTTGAAAAAGTTTGATTCATTTAGTTTTTTTTTTCACTTAAATTTGCTATTAAGTTTTTCATTTAAATGTTAAAATAATTTAAAGGATTTCAGTGACACTAAAATGCATTTAGCTGCTCATCGCATTAAAACTTAGTAAAACTCTATTTTTCAAGCTCTAAATTCTTCATTTGAAGAGATTTAGTTGATTTACTTTAATTCAACTTGAAAGCAGAAACACGTCAGTATAACATAGAAAAAGGAAAAGCAGTTTAGTCACAATGAAATATCTTTGATCATCAAATTTAAATAAGATAATGAAGAAAAAGAAGAGCTTTTCAGTTAACCTGGCTGATTCAGACAGTCTTTGGCTGGAGATGAGTCACTGAAGTTTTGGCCCCATCCTCTTTGCAGATTATTTTTAAACAGCCACATGAGATGTACCTCAAGTATATTTACCTCCAGACTTTAACTACCGTAGTCCATGAACATTATTTTAGTTTCTGAGACACGCTGAGGAGAATTAGCTTTCGATCGTTGTTCTGCTGCAGAACCCAACTCCTCCAGATCAGAAAATGTCTTGTTGCTTTGAGCAAATCTTCACATATCGGTCGTTACGCCGCCAGTTATGCAGAAATAGGGTCTTTGGAAACATTTAGTTCAGTATTTGCATATCTATAGTAGAAGTATGTCATTATTTTGATAGTACGGTTACGCTTGTTTAGTTGTGCATATAATTCAATTCAATTCAGTTTATTTATACAACTGATTCAAAGTTTCCTATCTAAGGAAAACCAGTTGATTGCATTGACTCAAAGGAAATCCTTTACGCTAAGCATGCTTGTAGTGACAGCGGAGAGGAAAAACTCCCTTTTAACGGGAAGAAACCTCCACTCCAGCAGAACTAGGCTCAGTGTGAGCGACCATCTGCCAAGGCCGACTGGGGTTCAAGGAGACAGAAGCAGTGTTAAAAAAAGGCAACTCTTCTAGATTCAGTATTTCCTCTACCATTGTCAACATGCGCCGAGTCACGAGAACTCGCATGTAGAGGTGGAAAGAGTACTGAAAATTTGTTCTCAAGTAATTTTCACTGCTTAAATCGTATTCAGGGACAAGAAAAAGTGCCGGTGTTAAAAAAGTGCCTAAATAAAAGTGGAAAAGTGCTTGAAGAACTTTTTAACTTTTGGATGTTTTAATGGCACAATATTTGACTTTGTTTTGTTTGGCTGCCTTATTTACTGAATAAAGGCAGGAGGAATGGAGCAGCTGTTCCAAGTTAGAGCCTATAGTTTTATGATTTTTTTATGATATTTTTATTTGTGCTCAATAATGAATGCTTCACATTATGAATGTGTATACTCTGTTTTGGTTTTAAAAGTAGAAAAGTTGAGGGCATAAATTGTACTGAAATATGTGTAAAAGTACAAATATTGCAAAAAAAAAAAGCTCTTAAAAGTACAAGTACCAAAAAAAAAAAAAAATCTAATTAAAGTAACATGAGTATTTGTACTTTGCCACCTCTGCTTGCATGCAGGTGAACACATGCACCAGTAGATAGAGAGCAACGTTGAAGGCCGAGGTGAGGACTTCTTAAGGAGGTTTGGAAGAAATGGGAGTTGGTCAGTGAGAAAGGAGAAAAAGAGGAAGAAAGTTGGAGAAGCCAGATTCTTATACGTCTGGCTGAGGGTGTTTAATCAAATGAAACTCAGTTTTATAATAAGAAATAAGGTTGATCAAAGTTGAATCATCATTTAAAAAATGGTAAATACATTTGCTTCAGTTATTTTTCTCTTAAAGACATAGTGGAGGATGTTCTTTTTCCGGGTGGATCACCAAATAAGTGGTCCTCCTAAACGTCTTTCTAGTGATATGTTTACGTAAGGGAGTGAGTCTGACATAGTGGAAAAATTGCATATCTTCTTTTTGGAGAGTAAGCTTGTATGAGTGATGCAAACAGCAACTTTTAAACAGCGTGCACGAGGAGAAATGGGCTCCTGCATGATCACACGCATTAATAGGTGTTCCCTTTTGGGAGCGGGTACAGGGTTGTGCATGTGCATATTTTTTTAAAATGGAGAGGGTGGGTCTTTCTAAAAATTTAGAAAAATCCTCCACAATACCTTTTAAGGGTTCAATTATTACAATAAAGGGGTCATAGAATGATTCTATAGGGTATTTGTTGCTGGTCCTTAAAGGGATAGTTCGGGATTTTTGACAGGATCTGTATGGCATCCCCATCACCAGTGTCATGCAATCACACTGACTTACCCCTGGCAGCATCCTGTGAGCAGAGTTCTCGTCCAGCTTTGGTCAAGCCGAAAGTAGTCCGGCAGGTTTGCTAGACCCAGCGAAATAAAACGTTTCTCTTCCCAAAACATTATGTGTTCAAAAGAGTGATATTTTTGCATCCCAAAAACATTGTAGTGGAAAAAGTCACACGTCGTTATCACTTGGACGTATTTTCTCTCTGTTCGTATCAGTGCGCGCCATCATTCTGACAGCGAGCTCAACTTTGAGGAGGGCAGGGAAGTCGCTGTTGTTTGTGATGCAGACAGCAGCTGCTGCAACTCCGACATCCTCATCAATGGAAAGGTTCTGTATCTCGGGCATTACTAAATCCCACTCGTGGCAACAGTAGCATCCACCTCTGTCTGCATTAATTCGCACTTGAAACAAGTGCACCATGATTTGTCGGCCACCCTGGATATCGCAGCTCCAGCTGAGGCTCCTGCGGCTCCGGCTTCAGCTTCCATCACTTCTCTGTCCACCCTCTCTCTTTCTGCCCGATCTAACTCCATTTGTCGAAGTTCATCGTCAGTGTACTCGGGTTCATAAAGATATCCCTTTGGCTCTAAGTGGAAGTCGATGTTTTCCTCGTCGCTCTCGTAGTCAGACATCTTCCCCAGTAGTAAACAATCGCGAATCAAACAGGTAGGCCCTTAACCTGACAACAGCCAGATGCATGCCTCGCTCCGCCCAGCTAGGAGCTAGGCTGAGCGAGACATGCATCTGGCTGTTGTCAGGTTAGTAGGCCCTAGCTGTCAGGTCATGGTGGTTTCAGAGTATTATTTTCAAGCTTTTCTTTTAAAGAATGATAACACCTGCATACAAATCTCTTTATTTCTCTGTGAAAGGCGCCAGTCGGCCGGTGCTAGCTGTCCTGCATGGCATCTTTTGTTGTTGTGGACTCAGCTGGGGGCTCTCTGCTGTTGCATGTTGACTGGGCATACAATGACATTACTGCTGGGTTGATTTAGGTGTGTGTCGGAGCCAGCAGGTGATCTCAGCCCTGTGGTAATGAGCACAGTAAAACACCAGAGTGCTAGCTGCAGCCTGTCAATCACGCCAACAGTGGCGGTGCTGGCTGAAGGGGATTACATCAGCGGATGAGATCATACTGCATCTACTGCAAGGCTGGAGTGCCCTCTTTCACTTCCCACCACTTAGTGTTCGAGTTCTCCTACTCAGCGCACACACACACACACACACAGATACACTGTGTAAAGAGAGATGCTCTCCTCTCTTTGCTTTTTCACACTAAGTGGTTTCAGGTGACCGTCTCCCTCTCTGTCCCTTTCTCATGTTGGTTTGCGTCTTTCTTTCCCCTCCAGAACTTTTTTCCAGAGCATATGGTGGCTTTGTGTCATGAGTCCGATGGTTCAATCCCTCAAGCACAGCTTTTACAGGTGAGGAAGGGGCCAAGCCAAATGTTAACTCTTTGCACAAAGGTCATAAGGCTGCTCTGTAAATATAACCTACATTTTTCACATTCTTTCTGTACCAGATGGAGACGTTGTGTTTCAGAACTTTGTTTTTGCATGTTTTCAATCTCAGCCTTATAATGAATTCATGTTATTGGGGTTTAAAGTGTAAGAATTACACAAACTAGCATATTTACTACTATTTATGATTATCAAATCAATTAATCCAAGAAGAACTCATCACTAAATGAAAAAAAATATATAAGAACATATTTGAAATATAGGGCCAAAAACATTAATAATAACTTACAATTCTCATAACATTGATATGAGAAGTGTGGCGTGCGTTTGTGGATCTCTTGAAAAATTGAGAATTTGGGTTCGGACTCTGAATAGGCAATTTTAACATTAACATCTTTGATCTGAGCTTTTGGACTGTAACTCTGAGTCGCTGTTCTGCAGGAAAGTTAAATTTTGCATCCAGTCTGCATTTAGTTCTGTCTAATTTGCCTTTTAACCTTACGTTTTTTTTAAATATTCTTTTTAGGGTGATAAGCTTATAATATTTAAGGTAACTAGGAAGTGGACCTCTTACAGATTAGATCCAACAGTAGCTTTCTTGTTGAGCTCCATTAATCCAGAGTTGTGGTGTGGAAAGCTATAGTTGTCCTATCCACAGATTCTCTCATTTAAGCAAAAATTAATTTTAAAATTGTGGCAAACCCATCAGTGAGCTTAAAGGTAAAAGGTATTTTAATTCCCAAACCTGTGGTTTCAAATAAATGGAGATAAATGTTATGATTATTAAATCAAAAATACAATAAATGGTTCTTTGTTTTTGTTTAAAATCTTCTCCCCCTAGAATTAGAATGTGTGTAAATGATGATACAAAAGGCAGCAAGAATTTATAAAAAAAATTAACAAAAACATGAACAGATGGCGATTCGTAAAAATTAGGGATGCTTGATATTGCCTTTTTTGCCGACATTCGATGTGCCGATGTTCCAAATGCTGAATTTTCGATTCCGATATAAGCCGATACCGTTATAAACTAATTTCACATCATGCCAGTCACAAAATTGACTTACTGTGATGCCCCACTACACACTGCATATTCCACAGATAATTACTGAAGTAGAGAACAAAAACAGCATTTCAACTTCAGGAAAATGCTAAATTTGACATTTATTTTCAACACTTTCTTAAAAACATTTTGGAATATGCTTTTCCTGAGATTAACCTGACAATTAATATTCAAGCAAGAGATAAATCTCTTTTCTTCACAAATAGGAAAAAAGTGTACCTCACCATTACAGCTGTTTTGCACAGAATTTAATGTAAACACAAATGGAGTCCAGTGTGGGATCGCTGTTAAAGGACGAAGTCTTGGTTCCCCCACGCATGACAAGGACCTCACAGTCGTTGCAAATCGCAAACTTCAAGTCATCATTTGAAATTTTAAAAAAGTTTCACAATGCAGACATTTTTCATTGCAGTTTAGCTTCGCTGCTGCTACACAGTTTGCCGTCTGGCGAGGTTTAATGACATCATCAGGGTGCGTCAAGTGTTGGCAAGAGCGCTAGCTTCAACATATTTCGCAAAATCTAGGCATTATATCATCGGCTTTTAATTATCAGGGGGAAACCCGATAAGGATATGGACAGATATCACATAATTATATCGCCCGATAATCGGACATCTCAAGTAAAAACATCAAAATAGGGTCACCATATTCCAGTTTGATATATTAAAAAAAGAAAAACTCTTCATTCCTCATCATCACTTTATAAATGTTTATTTATATACATATATTTTATTACAAATTAATAAATAAAATATTTTGCCTTGAATATTCATCTTAAAATGTATTATTAGTTTGTTCCTTTGACGTCTGTCTATATGTTTAATGTTAGAGGTAATCCATCCTTGCATGTTTCATGATTCTAACCTTGTTTAATATGATTTACTTCTAGAATTTTCTGAACTCCAGCAGCTGTCCAGAGATCCAGGGCTATCTTTATGTGAAGGAGCCAGGAAGGAAGTCCTGGAAGAAGCTCTACATGTTCCTGCGACGCTCAGGCCTTTATTACTCCACTAAAGGAACGTCAAAGGTCAGAAATCAAAGTTGTTATCATTCCTAAGCTAAATCTTTACTTTTCTGTGAAATTTTATATTTTCCAACAGATCATTATAAACCAAATCTTAGCTGTTTTAATTTTTTTTAAATGTAGATTTCACTCTTTTTTTCCCATTTTGTCACAGGAACCCAGACATCTGCAGGTCCTCTCAGATCTCGAGGACAGCAACATTTATACCATCATCACCGGGAGGAAACTTCACAACGCCCCGGCAGACTACCAGTTCTGCATCAAGGTAAAACATGCAAGCGACAGCTAAAGATGTATCCGGCCGTTTCAAATGAGATGTACGTGAGATAATAGAGATTTGTGCTGCTTGGTGCGTTAAACCGTCCCATCGGAGGCGCCTGCTTCAATAAACCCCCTCAGTAACAAAAGGCTCCACTCCTTCCTTGCTTACGGTATCATGCGTGTGTCTGTGTCAGAGGACATGAGGGTTAACGCCACCCAGCAGGGGGTTAAACACAGTCTCTTCTCCTTGCATTATCTGTGGTGGGTCACCTGCTGATCTGGGATAAGCCTAGTGGGATAAGCCTGGATGGTAGAGCGAGTCGCCCCTTTTAACCTCTTTAGCTTTTTGCCTCTAGATGGGGGGGATGGGGATTCAAAGAGCTGCACTAAAAGCTGAGATTTTTGCCCCTTTTCACCAGATGGCTCGGTTTTATTCGGCCGTGGAGTAATGAAAGGGGTATGATCGGCCCTTTGAGACACGGCCACGTCACGAGCCAAAGCTTTAAAAGTGTGACGGCGCTGTGGTTAAAGGCAGGAAGCCCTGCTGAAGATGACCTTCAAATAAGTTTTAATTCCAGCAGCGTGATCTCAAACCAAACGTTTTGACTACAAAATCTAACCTGGTTCCTAAAGGGGTTGATTAAACTAGAAGAAACAAATGTTTGATGTCAAGAATAGGGCTATGTAAAAAAAAAAAAATGCTTTTCTAATTCTGAATCAGTTTCTGAAAATCAGTATATATAATGCAAGATTCAATTAATTTTATTTTTATAGCGCCAATTAACAACACATCATCTTAAGGCACTTTACAGTTCACCAGATCATACAGTCAAATTGATTCAGTTTCTAAGGAAAAGAGTTAATTGCATCGACTCATTGACTCTAAGGCAATCGCTCACTGTAAGCATGCTTGTAGCGACAGTGGAGAGGAAAAACTCCCTTTTAACAGGAAGAAACCTCCAGCAGAACCAGGCTCAGTGTGAGCGGCCATCTGCAGAGGCCGACTGGGGTTCAAGGAGGCAGAAGCAGAGATACAAAAAGCAGCTGTAAAAGGCGTGGCCCTGTTCAGGAAACACACAACCAGGCAGACAAGCTCTGAACCAGCTCCCATGTCCGAGGATGAAGAGAGCACATCCAACCAGTAACAGTTAGAGAAACAGGACTACACTGGAAAACAGGCCGATCTTGAACATCTGTAAACAAAGGTGTTGATGGCAGCAGCATCTATGATGGAGTCACAACCAAACAGGAAACAATGCGGCAACGCTACTATGAGAAAAAGCAGAGATAGCATAACGTTAGAGATTGAACTGACAGATTCTACAGAGTGGGAGAATAGAGATAGAATGATGAAATGGGGGTCCCTATGTCCTCCAGCAGTCTAAGCCTATAGCAGCATAACTATAGAGATAGCTCAGGATAACCTGAGCCACTCTAACTATAAGCTTTATCAAAAACGAAAGTTTTTAGCCTAGCCTCAATAGTAGACAGGGTGTCTGCCTCACGGACTAAAACTGGTAGTTGGTTCCACAGGAGAGGAGCCTGATAACTAAAAGATCTGCCTCCCATTCTACTTTTAGAAATTCTAGGAACCACTAGTAAACCTGCAGATTGAGAGCGAAGTGCTCTGTTAGGAACATAAGGAACAATCAGATCTCTGATATAAGATGGAGCTTGGCCATTTAAGGCTTTATATGTGAGAAGGAGGATTTTAAATTATATTCTGGATTTAACAGGAAGCGAGTGAATCCAAGATAGGAGAGATATGATCTCTCTTTTTAATTTTCATCAGAACTCTGGCTGCAGCATTTTGGATCAGCTGAAGGCTTTTAACTACAGTTTGTGGACTTCCTGATAGTAAAGAATTACAATAGTCCAGCCTTGAAGTAACAAATGCATGGACTAGTTTCTCAGCCCTGGACAGGATATTTCAAATTTTTTGCAATATTCCGCAGATGAAAGAACGAAATTCTAGAAACCTCTTCGATATTCAAAAATAACACCAAGATTTTTTACTTTATTATCTGAAATCAGTTTAATCCCATCCAAATGAAGTGACTGACTAATCAGCTTATTTTTCAAAGACTCTGGTCCAAAGACTATAACTTCTGAGTTCTGCATTTTCTCTGTCCTTACAGCTATCATCACTTTATTTTTTTAGTGTTGGATGTTATATAATACCAGTATCAATATGCAGCATAACTTCACAGCTATGCATCTCAAGTAGGGGCTGAAAATGTGTTTTTAATTCCAGCGATCCAATTTGAGATGGGATCAGATCACAGGCCTTATTAGGAAATCATGTTTCAGTTTCAAAAATACGACTGTTGGTGATACTTTCCAATCCTTCCTTCAGCTAATAGGAGACCAACTTTGACCTCCATAACATTTCAGTTAAACTACATTTCTCATTACTACTTTTTTTTTTTTTTTTTTTTAAGAATAAAACAACAGAATTTTGCTCTCATAAGTCAGAAATTCCAGGCTCAAGTTGAAAAGAATCAGTGAGATTTTCTAAAGTCCACATTTAAGTTGATAAAATAAGATATTTTGTTCACCTGTGCCGTCCACCTCATTCAACATGTTTGCAATATGTTAAAAGCCCATGAATCCATCGTGTGTTCAGATGTCAGGCCTACACATCCATATTTACAATGGGTCACTTGTTTTAAATAGATGAGCCCTTGGTTCTCTCTAACGCTGGTGTCTCAAAGGTCACCTCAGGACGAAGGATCATGGGATGAATATTCTCTTTTTTCTGTTGTTTTGTATTCAAGGATTTCCTAAAACTTTAAACATTTTAAGATGCCATGCAGGCCAGTGGAAAAGTACTAGGCCCACAGCACCATGGCCCCATGGTTTTTTGTTGTTGTTGTTGTTTTTTTGGTGTTGCGTTATTAGCATCTTGTTTGTTTTTATATCAACACTACATAGTAGCAGCTGTTTTTTTTTTCTGCAGCCATTTGTGATAAACTAAAGGAAATGCCCCCCTGTGTCACATTTTATTGGTTCCCCAATAAGCCATGGCTTACTTATTAGAATAACAAAATGTTTTATATGAATTGAAAATATTATACTAGAAGCATCAATAGTTTTGCTACTTGTGAATTGATTAAAACATTTATTTTTTTATTAAAGAGGCTTTTTTTCCCTGGAGTTCAGATGGTTTTGAGTTGTTGTTCTATAGTTTAAACATATTATACATATAAGAAGTCTAAGCTGCATCCGTAAGATAAGGTGTAAATTATTCCCTCTTCTGCAAACCTCCATATCTCAGTTAATCAGATATTTTTAACCTTAGTGGTCTTAATTAAACTCTATATTTCTCTTTATATCTGTAGTAATTTCAGATAAGCACAATACATTTAAAATGGGTGTAAATAGATGGGTTTTCGCTGCCATGTTTCTTTGAAGACGCTGTGGGAGTTTGTGAATTTTTAGATATTTCTTAAAATTGGCAGAAATCCCTGTGGCCTCGTTAAATTAAGATCATTAAAGTTTGACCCGGTGTTATGAAACATAACAGTTTGGAGATGTTTGCGCTCCACAGAACCGAGGCCCGGCTCTGTTTGTGCTCACAATGTGTTTCTCATTAATTTTAAACCCCGCTGTGTCCTCTGCTTGGTCCACAGCCCAATAAAGCCAGGAGTGACTGTAAGGAGCTCAAGATGTTGTGTGCCGAGGACGAACAGAGCAGGACATGCTGGATGACTGCCTTCAGACTGCTCAAGGTGAGGGATCTTCTTTCATTTGTCCAGTTAGAGTCCATTCAATGAAGACCTGCAGCCGACTCCTCTCCCTTCTTCACAGTATGGGATCGTCCTGTACCAGAACTACAACGTGCCGCAGCAGAGGAAGGCCAACAACTCGTCTTTCTCTGCACCTGTGGTGAGGATCTCCCCTCTGCTGTCATCCAATCACAACCCAGTTATCAGGTTACCTACCTGGCAAAGACGGATTCACAGTGGTCGGCTGTTTAGTCGATGATTCTTCATTGTCAGTGAGATAAAACACAAACCTGGGACGTTTTTCACATGGTGTGTGTGGCACCGAGGAGTGAAGGCATAAAGGCAGCATCTTTCAAAAACTGAGTTTTATCTAACTGCCCAGAATTATTCACACCCCTATCAGATTTGCATTTGAACTGGCTTTTGTTAAAGTGAAATGTTATATCTAATGGTAAAACCGCCTGGAAATGTGATGAATTGAGGAGATGGACACGGTAGATTTAACACATCTAAATTTATTACCTTTTTAATATTCAATGGAAAAAATCTTGATTGGCATTTATGCCTTCTGATACTTTCTGAACAGCCTTTTCCTCTTCTCCATTTTAGCATTTTATAATTAGTGTTGAGCTGCAAATAAGTTTGGAAAAGTTTCCATGCAAAGCTAAAAACCACGAAAGGCAAATTTGTTTTTATTTTTTTTTTATTTTAGAAAAGAATATAAATTTTTGCACTTAGAAAAATAATCTTTTTGATCCACTTGAAGAAACTTTTACTTCTGGACTGTAAATCTAAGTTTCCATTACAAATGGGTGAAAAACAGCTCATATTCTGCTAATTTTGAAAATACACAATTTCACTATTTCTATTGAATAACACTTTTAAAATTGCACATGATGACGTTTGTTTATGCAATAAGTTGAGCTCAACATGGCAGCTGTGATTGTAAATAATTATTATGAGATATATCCATATTTCAGCCACAGCTTTAGTGTCCTTCATCTTTTAACAAAGCAGTAAGGTCCATTAGCAGAAAACAAAATTAGTGATTTCACTGCAGTTTTACTAATTTCAAAGTGAATAAAAAACGCCTCATTGAAGCATAAAAGCTTTTTATCGTAAAAGGTGATTTTTTTTTTGTTTTTTTTTCCAAATTATAGTTTTAATTAAGTTTTGCTGTTGTAATTTGTGCAGTTTGATTGACAATGGAAAAGGAGTTAGTGTAGATTACTGACAAAGATTTCCTATTCCTAGTTTTCTTATTTTTAAGAAGTCATTTCCAATGAAAAACTGTGATTGAAAGGATCTGTATTTAAGATTGTGTAAAGATTATTTATTTTAACTCGTTTAATTCAGTCCAGCTGTCAAAGTTGGAATTATAAGAAAAGTAGAGATCAATACATGAGTGCAGACCTTCGACAAACAGCTCAGTTCACATCTCACAGTCCTGAGAACATTCCTACAGTGGATGGTGATCTGATCACTACCAGAACCTCATGGGTTCTAACTCTGGGTAAAACACACCTGTGGTAAAAATTTCAGAGCAAGTCTTCTAGGACTTTTTCTGTAATCTTCCTAACCATAAAAAACAACCAACCATCAAATAAGCAAACCAATGCAGGCAAAGGTAAATCACTGATAACCATAGAAATTTGGTGAATATGTTCTTCTAAACCAACTGAAAAATAAAAAAAAAACTTAAAAAGTCTCAAAAGATTTATTTAAACTTGGCATACACTGTACCATTTTTTCAGTCGTTGCACGCAGCTGCAGCTCACACTGTATGACGAAACCGCAGGGTACTGATGCGACCTACCTGCTCACACTGCACGTCTAAAAACCAGAGATGGCGCTACTGGGACTCATCTTTCCAGAAGCCAAACCAGTAGAAGAGGAATATGAAGCTCATTGATTTCAAAGTGAAACGCTGCCTTGGCAATTTGCAATTTTGTGCTAGAAGCCCTAAAAAGAAAAGGCGCAACGTATTTGGAGAAAGACATGGCTGTACAAGCGTGGCGACTACGGTCTATCAGTTTTACAGAAAAAACTCAATTTCACTCGCACCCCGCCATACTTCTGTGTTTTCCTCTGAGAGGAAGAAAACTGAGCGATTTGCTCACGACTATCGACTGAAAATCCACCGATCCTGGCCCCTGTTATGGTCCCTGTACTTAAAACATACACTACAAAAATGTGACATCAGTCTATTTTCTTGAAAAGGGTTGTATTTTGCCTCAATTTGAGTGGGTAGGAAAGACAATTTACTATTGTAATCAGATTATTTCAATTTAAAAGAAAAAAATCCATCCTCTTAGTTTCCACTTAGCGCTGAGACAGATACAGAGTTAACTGATGCAAACTTTAGTGCAGTCTGACTTAAAAGTTGAAAGCTCCATAGGAAAGACTGCGGTTTTATTTAATCCTGAATGTCATTAGAATCTATAGCAAAGCTGCTCTTGAACTCCACAGATTTATCCTTTAAATCTTCCTTTTCAGAGTATTGACCTGGTGGACTAGTGGGTTAGAGCAATGCACTTGTTCTCTGAGAAGGTCGCAAGTACCCGCTTCGATCCCCCAACTCCTGAGCAAAACACTTAACCCCTGATTGCTCCCCAGGTGCCACACAATGGCAGCCCGCTGCTCCGCAAGGGGATGGGTCAAAATGCAGAGAATGAATTTCCCCATTAAAGAGAATAGGGGGTTTTCAGGTGACGTCACGCTCACGTGACTACTCAGCGCGTCCGCCATATTGGGTGGCAGCCTTAGGCAATATTGACAGTGAAAAATGGTGAAATCGTGTGTAATTGTTGGTTGCACGGCCCGTGGAGGTGGAGATCAACGCTCTTTCTATCGCATACCAGCCGTAATCGTGAATCAATGTGAAAAAACAAAACAGCTATCTGAACAACGCAGTCACCTATGGCTGACACGGATATCCAGGTCCGATTTGGACTGTGTTAAGCTGGAATACGCCAGAGTCTGCATTGCTCACTTTGTCACAGGTAATTAACTGTCAAGCATTTAAAACATGTAAGAATATATTAATAATAGGGCTTGGGCGTCATGACGTATTACTTTCCGTGGCCGCAATGTTGACTGCCTCCGCCGCCGCTACTCAGACTATTGCCTATGACTACCGCGTACTGGACTCCCTCTCTCAGCCGTGTTTTAATTTGATTAATTTCACCTTAACTTGATTTCAACCAGCGGGAAAAGGCTCAAATATGTGAGAAACCCGGAGGGTTTAGGGAGGTTTGGCAGTAAACGTTACTAACCAAACCTTTGAAACACATAGCAGCTAGTTAAAAGTACATTATATGCCTGAGTGGTTGTTAGCACTAATGGTTAGCACTGTTTGCTGGCTTTATGAGCTGCAGCTCCTGAACTCATCCATTCGTAAACTGCACATGAGACTCCAAGGACTTGTAGCTTTGGAACTGTTAGCGCACCGCCGGGCCGTTAGCCACCTAGCATAGCGAGCCCTGCGCCGGATTGCTTACATTTTTACCATCTTATTAAAACTCACCCGTCGACGTATGATGGCGATTTCCTTCATGTACATCACTTCGACGTCTCGCACCCAACCAGATGTGAACTGGTTGTGAGCCTCTAGACCCTTGTACGCTCTCATTTCCTCAAGAGTGTGCAGAGGGTTTTCACTGAACACCAGGTAATGAACTATGTCGCCGTGCTCTACATTTGGCCAATCATCTGGATTAGTGCTAAACAAGGCACCGTGGAGGGCATAGGGGTCCATATGGTCGATCACGGAACATTTCCTCAGATATGTTCCATGATCTGGTGGCTCTAGCGTGCTGGTGTACTTATCCATTCGTGACATGATATATATGATATACGATAATATGCCACCAAAGATGGCGGACCGGAAGCTGGCCAGTGACGTCACTGAAAACCCCCTATTACATTAGATTTCGGTTTAAATGTTAAATTTTTTAATGCATCCACTTTTTATAAGGACTAACACAAACCCAGGAGTTAATGTCTCTGTGTTTTATCCTCAGGTTTAGCTTCAAAATGTTTATTATAGTGAATATTTTATGAAATATTTAGAAATACTTGGACTTTAGGATCCATTAAACTCTAACCCTTTCAATCAATGTCTTAAATGTTTGTGGACGTTTCATAGTACAAACACAGACCAATTTTTTATATCAGGCTTTTTGCTCAAATCTCAAATACAAATGCTGCATAAATGTGAAGAAAAAGCAAAGTTTTTCAGGGTTTCTAAATAAAAAAATGAATTCAGATCTTGAATTTAGGGCTAAAGAGAAATTGAACTCCTTATTTTAACCTCAAACCTACCAAGATCTCCTTCCAGCATCAATTAGAGTATCAGCCAACTGCTACATTGGTGACCCTGGAGGAGTTGCAGATCTGCAGCTCAGGTTTACTAAACTGCTGAAACTGCAACTTTTAGCACAAATCTGTCATTTATGGAGGAAAGCTGTTCTTAAAAAATTTAAATGGTAGAATTAAAAAGTGTAGATTCCTTTGTGTTTATTGATCACATAAAATCCTTATAAAACAAATAATTTTAATGTAGCTGAACAAAAATTTGTTTTTAAAGCAAATGTCACAATTACAATGAGATTTCATATTAAGAAAAGGCTTTAGTTTAAAAATTGGAGGTTTCTTTAAAAAAAAAAAAAAAACTTGTTTAAGCCTTTTCTCTTCTCTCTGAAGAGCCAGAAGTTCAAAGGGAACCTGAACGATTTAAGCTGCATGTTCAGAAATCCAGGAGAGGCTTGTGCCTTTCTTCACAGGAGTGTTTGTGGATTGACTAAAGTGGGTCTGTGTGCAGACAGGATTTGTCATGCTTCAGTGACTGCGTCTGGCTTGTTTGACCTCTGCCCTTTTTTTTTTTTACCCCTCCCTCCCCCATCCACTCCCACTCAACCCCGTTTCTGGTGTGTCCCCCTCCCCCACCTGCCTCCGCTTGCCACCTTTCCTAATACAGCGGAGCGTATCTGAGAACTCCCTGGTTGCCATGGACTTTTCGGGAAGAACCGGCCGTGTTATTGACAATCCGGTGGAGGCTCAGAGCGCCGCCCTGGAGGAGGGACAAACTTGGAGGGTAAGCAGATCAATCACACTGCAATATTCCTCATTTTGTTTTTTCTGTTTTAGTTCAGTATTTAAATCTTTTTCATCTCCTCTTGTCTGGCATTCTGATACTGATATAGATTCCGACAGGGATAAATATTTCTCCTTCCTTCCCCGGATACTTTATCGGACTAATAGAGCACTGAAATCCAGGGAAAGGCGACTTTTATCCAAAATTTGTGGCCTCGCCATCTCAAGTTATATTTAAAAAATTTTATTATGAATATGCACTGAAAATACTTTATAAAAACAAAATAATTTGTAGAATGAGCTGCATTAACTTTTTATAAAGATTATTAGTCGTAAGGTTGTGTTTCTAGATGAATGATGAGCACCAAGCTGAGCTCCATTAAATGCTGTTATCATTAAACAGCGCTCCGTTTCAGCAGTAAATTAAATCCTAGAGACTTTAAATGTAACAGAAAAGTGAACTCTTAAATTCACTTTACCGGTACATTAAATTTATTTATATAGTGCTAATTCACAACACATGTAATCTCCAAGCACTTTATAGAGACAATTCAACCAGATCATACAGTCAGATTGGTTCAAAGTTTTCTATCTAAGGAAAACCCGCTGATTGCATCGAGTCATTGACTCAAAGGTAATCCCTCGCACCAACGATGCTTGTAGCGACAGTGGAGAGGAAAAACTCCCTTTCAATAAGAAGAAACATCCAACAAAACCAGGTTCAGTGTGAGCAGCCATCTGCTGAGGCCGACTCTTAAAATCTTAAAGTCTTTAGATTATACCGGGTCTGCAGGGATTGTTTTTAAATGTGCAGAGGGTTCTTAGGGGTGGATAAAATCCTTAAAGTTTTATATTTAAAAAAGTAGTGCAAGGTGTTGAAAGTTTAAAACAAGAAAAAAGGCCATAAAAAGACATGCATTCTTGGACTTCCTTAAATGTTTTGGATTTTTTTTTTTTCAGGTTAGGAATTCAAAAAGTAAAGCGACCGCCTTCAATACGTCATTATATTTGTTTGAACTTTAAATTCCAGCGTTACCTGTTTGTAGCTAATGTCTTCTTAGAATTCTTCTCTCAGGTGAATTATTAACAAGTCGGTGCATAATACCATGCCTGAAAAAAAGCTAATTCAGGACAAATGTTGGCAATGTTGCTTTCAAAAGGATCCCAAAAAAACTAAAATTCTGCTTTTTGTTGCTGCTTGGAGCCCATTTTAAAGCTTTCGGCACACTGAAGAGCTTGAAGGCTATTCAGAGGTGTCTATTATCAATGTATTGTGGATATGAATGTGAACTGTAAGTATTATCAATAAGAATGTTTGCCATATATTGCTTTTTCTGTTTTAAAATTTAAAATTTCAATTTAACAAACAGTCACTCAAAGCAGAAACTCATTAAGATGATACAGGCTGTTACACAGACCATAACGCTGTATCATAATAACGATGTTGGCAGTTAGTACTTTTTACATCTTGGTAATTGATTTACGTTACTTGCGATCTAACGCATTACTAATATTAGATCAATCAAAATGACTTTTCATAAAAGGGGACAGATTTTTACTGCAGGAGGCTAATATTCACATTGTGACTAGGCGTGAGTATTGGCATGTGATACAATACATTTAAGGATACTTGGGTCACAATATGATGTTATCACAATATTTTAGTATTACTATATATATTGCGATATTTTACCCAGCTGTCAAAATCAAATCTAGAGATTAAAAAAGGAAGTTCTGTATACGTTCACCTGAATCCATCTTGTTTGGGGTTTGAATCGGTCCACATTTTCCAGTGTGACTGCTTCAACTGCAGATATGGTGCTGCGCTGCACAGCAAAAAGGCTCCACGGCGCCACCTACCAGAGGTAGCCCATTTTCCCTCTTTGTTTTAGTAAAAAAAAAGTTTTTTTTTCAAAATGGTTATTAGGAATTTAAAGATCGATATATACTGGGCAGCCAAAAATCACGCTATATCACCAAATCAATTTTTTTTCACACCCCAATTGTGATGCTGATAGGCTAAAGAGCTGCAATGGAGGATTGTTTATCACGTTAAACACAGGCTGAGTGGAGATTAGATGAAGCATTGCTCCTAATAAAAGCTTCTTATGTCAAAATGTTTCTGTAATTTACTCAATATGTGCAGAAACTAAGACTAAATTAGAAACATCCCCAATCTAAAGATGATCTTCATCTCAACATTGACTGGCAGCCAGCTCTTTGTTGTATGTTGCTCTTTACTATGTGTAAACCTTTAATCAAATCACAAATCACAAATCAAGACCCTTCATCACACTTAAAAAACATCATATTTACATGGTGAATTTTCAAATCCCTGTAAATAGAACTCCACCCAATGTTTCTACTGCGTTTGACCATATTCCTCTGATCATGGCTGCACTTGAAATGTTAATTTAACTGCTAAGCTGCTCATTTACTGTTGAAAAGCTTTATGCATGGAAATTTCATTTTCAATGCACTCTGTGTATTGAAAATGACAAAGTTTGTCTAAGTCTAAATGGTACAGATTAGTATTATTTCCTTCATTTATTGACAATATACCTCTTATATTTCATAGTTGGACTTCGAGTTGTATTTAAACTCCCAGTTACAGGAACGTTTTCCACATTCGTAGATCGTAAAAACTTACTCAATAGTTTCTTTTACTAGTAAGTAGTTTCTGTGGAGAACTAATGATCTCAGCACTGGATGCCAATTAGATTATTACAACTGGCACATTTATATCGGACACGTTTAGTCTGATTGGCTGTTTATCTGATTCCTTAACTACATGTAAATGAGAGTACAGGTAGGGTAAAATGTGCTCCTTGAATTTAGGAAATTGGTTGTGGAAAGTCCTTGAAGGCGTGGGAACTCTGCGGTTCACAGTTTTCCTCAGCTGATGTCTTGAATCAGTGAGGACAGTCCTGCTGTAATTAAATTTACACTAATGAGCAAATGTTCCATCAAAACGACTCTCATTTCTTTTCCAGACAAAAGAAACTTGTAAATGAGAGGATCTTTTTTTGGAGTTCAGCCAAAACTAACTCAGAATCTCAGCACGCAAAGAAAAACATATATATATATATATATATATATATATATATGTATGTATGTATATATATATATATATATATATATATATATATATATATATATATATATATATATATATATATATATATATATATGTGTATGTATAAAAGTAGGCTGACATGATATAAATGACATACTTTGTCATAATTAGCAAAGACAAGATATTGATGAATGAAGGAGAACTGGTTCATGTTTTAAGTAGGACTTTAATTTGGGGATGAAGTGAGATTTAATTTTAAAACCTGTGGGAAAGAGACTTCTTCTGGTTGAGAGTAAACTTCCACACCAATCTAACCGCCCCCCCATTAGGCATCAGTCAGTGTTTTCATGCTGGCGCCAGGCCTGGGCCAGTGTTTAGTGATGAGCAATTAAAGAAACATGGCTTGTAAACATGTTTGGCTGGAGAAAGCAGTCAGTGCAGGGTTATGTTTGAAATTTAGAACAAACACGGCACAATGCTGACGGGGGATTTCTTCAAACGACTGTTTACGGTCATAGGAATCGTATAGAGAAGGCCCTCAGCTGTACGCTGATAGCTGTAGAGCGCCCGGAATAAAAGCAAGTTATACAGCTAACAGGTTTTATATGTTGGAGTTTAGTGGCAAACTTTCTCATTAAACAAGAAAATGCTTAATTTCTTAAAATTTAAACCAAAGTCTGCCTCCTGAGAGCGTCCAACAGATATTCCCATAGGTGGTTATAGGCAGGGGCCAACAGGGGCCAGCGCCCTTGGAGAACTGATCCTGGCCCCTCTTATGGCCCCTGTACTCAAAACATACACTACAAAAAATTGAAATAATTTTCTTAAAAAGGGGTGTATTTTGCCTCAATTTGAGTGGGTAGGTAAGACAATTTACTAATATAATAAGATGATTTCACTTTCAAAGAAAAAATCCATCTTATTTCAAACAGTTTATATATAATTATCTTATTTTGAGGGAATAATACAATTCTCTTTGGCAATCATCTTATTTAGCCGCTTTTTAACCTCATTTTCTACATTTTAGATGACTTTTTGCTGTGTCTTACTAAATAAGTCATATGATTATATCCATTGATTCAAGAATTATTTAATTTTGGTTATGATATCATGATTACAACCATATTAAGATACAACCAGGTTTTTCATTATTTTTTTTCTGTATCCTCATTAAAAACAACGGCCCCACCCCCGGCCCCCCTGGTGAATTTAGTCTAGAACCACCACTGGTTATTCCTACTTTTCATAATATCAACAGTCAAACTTTTCTCCCTGTAATGGTTCCTCATTGAACTCAGAAAGAATCCTATGAAGCACTTTCACCTTCTAATTATCTGAAAGGTCTGATGTAGAACAGTTTAATGTGTAGATGCACAATCATTTTCTACAACTGAATAAAAAAGAAACCGAGGTCATAATTTTCAGACCAAAGGAGGAGAAATCTGCGGTTAGCTCACAGCTGCAGCTGTTTCATCAACCCATTTAAATGCATTTATTCCCTTTTTCCTTGTATTTCATCTCATTTTAAAATCAGATATTTAAAGTGGTGATTCTTTAAAAAGGACAAATAACCTCTGGTTGATATTTATTAAATTCAAGTAATATCTTTCTTTGTTAAACAATTTAAAATGGCCCTTTGGATTGTAAAGGTTGTGGACTCTGGTCTAAAGCTTCAAAGTGAAGAAAATCCACCGATAGAATCCTGCATTTAATGTGATGTTTTATTTTTACAGAAAAGAACCCACCGCATGAATGTCCTGGGCAGCCCCCTGCACCCCTCCTCTCTGAGCTCAGGTACTCCCACCAACCTGGAAATGTAAACATAATCCAGCCAGCCTAAACTCAATCCCAGTACCAAATATATCTGTAGTAGATTATTATTCAGTAGGGGGGGAAAAAATCTTTTTTTTTTCTTCCAGTGATCCACAGGACACAGGTCTGGTTCCACGGTCGTATCATGAGGGAGGAAGCTCACAAGATGATCATACAGCAAGGCCAAGTGGACGGGTGAGTGGGGGAACGGCTGATATATTTCGTTTTAATGCATGTGGAAGCAAAATGCTGTTATTATCTGCCAAGCATCACAGTTAATATCTTCCCACCGTCTCTGGAACTTGGCAGCATCACGTTTGGTCTGTGTGGGAATCCCACTCCTCATGGAATAAATAAACTTTTCCTGTCATTTATTTTGTCTTTCCTGCCAGGTTGTTCCTGTTGCGGGACAGTCAGAGTAACCCCAAGGCGTTTGTGCTCACCTTGTGCCACCACCAGAAGATTAAGCACTTCCAGATCCTACCGGTCAGTAAAGAAAAGCAGGAAACACGGCAGCGATGCTTCGGATGTTTCATGTTAAGATGCACGTGTCTATTTTTTATTTATTTTTTTTTTTTGAGTTTCTGCGGCCAAGTGGCTCGTTTTTTTCGACAATAGGCTGATAGGAAGGGGGTTATGAGAGAGAAAGCACCACAGGTCAGATTCGAACCCGGGTCGGCCGCATCGAGGACAAAGGCCTCCGTATGTGGATCGTGCGCACTGTAAACCCAAGATGCACGTTTCTACATGTCTGTTTTTGATGGATTTGACCATTTTTACATTGAATTCCGAAAATGCAAAATGTCTTACTTCATTATTTTGGAAGATCAGCTTAAAGTGGTACATACTGGTCTTCTTCTGCAAATAAATAAAATCCTCAGAATCACCTCTGTAAATAATTACTTTCAGAAGTCCCCATCATCAGTAAAATAGGCATCACCTCGCATATCTAGGTCTGTTAAGACCTAGGAGTAGTTTTCTTTTTGTTTTTTCTTCTTTTTTTAGATACATTTAGTGACAATTTGGCAACATTTCAGCAAAGTGGATGGCGACATAGCGCAAAACAAAAGCCACTTTTTTGGTTATAAATGTGGTTTTTCACATATTTTCCATCCATTTGTTTTGGTCAGTTGCAACAATTTATGATGGAATATATTTTTATGATTTTGATGTGACGAAAGGGACATTTTATACAATTTAAGAGAAAGAGTACGGGTGACTGTATGGGGGGGGAATTAGGAAAGAAAATTGTGCATTAGTACGACCAGCAGATGTCTAACGTTTATATCTGTTGATCGCACCTGGTGCAAAAAATTATTTTCAGGGAAAAAAAAAAAAAACTAAGCAAACACTATCAGGATGAACGCTTGGCTTACTTTACTTTAACATGAACAAATGGTTTTTTATGGGAGTTCTATTTGATTGGTTACCTTTCTAATCAAAATTTAAGTCATAATTCAAACGGATCCAATCAATTTACATTAGAGCACTGCGATTGATTAAGAAATTTAGTATATATGACTTTTGAGTGCCTCATCGGATCCAGTGTCACTCTGTGGGTGAAAGAGAGCAGCCATTGTGTTTTACTGTTATCCTTTAACACAGAATAAACTCTTGGTTTTTAACTGCTTTAGTGTGCTATGTTAGCAGTTAGCATAATTGGAAGAACTGCATGTTTAAATTAGTTAAATCCAATTATTATTATCTGATTTTTTTTTTATTTTGTTGTTTTTTACAAATAAATGCCATTAAGTTGTTTCTCCTGAAGGTTGAGGAGGACGGTCAGGTGTTCTTCAGCCTGGATGACGGCGCCACCAAGTTCACGGACCTGATCCACCTGGTGGAGTTCTACCAGCTCAACAGAGGAGTGCTGCCCTGCAAGCTCAAACACCCCTGCACCGCTGTGGCCTTGTGACACTTCACCCACCCGACACAGCGCCCCCCCCCCCCTTTTTTTTGCACATCAGATTAAAATAAACCCTCTCCCCAACACCGACCCCACCCCCACCCCAAGCCCCTTTACCAACTCGGTGGGGTTAAGGACAAAGAGAGAGAAAAGGAAGACCCTTGTTTTGGGAGGTGAGCGGGGCGGTCCCTAGCTCGTGGCGGTTTTGGACGCGTTGTGCGATCGTTGTCGAGCTCCTGTGATGTTTCCTGGAGATCCGGTAGATTTGTTAAACACCAAATGTTGTGAGAACACAAGACCACTAAAGCGACGTCTTTACAGCTGGAGGGTTGAGGGTCTTGAATGAACCCCCTCCTTTCCCCCCAGCCATCCCCCTCCTCCAGGCCGGATAAGCTGTGGTGCCCGCCCCACCCTAGCTCCCCTCACCCCTGAGGCGGGCAGGGAGCACCACCCTCTGACTTCCTCACTGATTATCAGGGATGGACGGGAACCTCTGGGATCCAGGAGTTTCTCAACCTGTGCAGTCCAGTCTGGATAAGCTGCCCCCCCTCCCCATTCAACACCTATCCACGACACCCCCTTTCTGGTGCGCCCGTCTCCTCCACAGCAGCTCGGACAACAGTCGGAACGGAAGGAAGCGGCCGAAGGCGCGATGAGCAGAGCAGCGGCGAGGGTTTGCTAAAAAGAAGAAAAAAAAAAAAAGGACAGAGGAATGTTTAATCAGGAAGGCCGTAACACGGCTCTCTTGTAGAGTTAATTACTTGATGTCATTTAATGCTGTTTTATTCATGTCGATTCAATGCAGAACTAGTTTTGCACTCCTGGGCGGACAGACAACGGCTCTCTAGCTAAATGAAGCTGCCTCCTCTTTCTCCTACGCTCTGCAAAGCGTGCATGTGAAATTCCACCAGCTCTGATTGGACGACAGCGGCGTGGGAGCAGAGATGCAGCTGATAGTGCAGCTCCTATCAGAGGGCTTTGGGAAGCTCCTCAGACCTCCGTGTAGCTCGCAGCACCAACACCCGCACCACCGCGATGAATGAATGTGCTCCTGAACCAGCTGCAGCTCCTCTAGACTCTGAGGAAGAGGAGGAAGACTATTTTATAGACTCCTTAAAAAAGTATCCCCAACCCCCCCCAAGCTTCTACCATTTCGTTGTTTTTTTTTTGTTTTTTTTAATCAAAAGGGTTATATTTGTGGGTGAATCTGTCTTTGAATGTTTTTATTTTTCCTGAGTCTAATCAGAGTTCAGTGCTTGCACATTTGAATCATTCTGATGGTGGTTGGAGCGGTCCCGTTCGGGTTCTCACCACTCTTCCCTCCTACAAAGCAACAAAAGCACTCTCGTAACTTTCTTTTGTTTTTTTTTAACTTTAAATATGGAATTTGAACAAATGACTTGAAACGTGGGCTCTGTCGTTCGTGGTCGACTGAGCTTCACTTTGCCTTAAGTGAAAATGATGAGCCATGTGTCTGAAATTGAAGAAGCTATCTAAAAATGCACATACAGTGAGAAGTTTGGGATTGGAGGAGGGCTGGAAGGACATGGTGAGTGATTCTGTGAACCAGTATGTTGAGGGATAGAGCTAGATATTGGGAAATTATCTCATTTGCTATTTTTTTGCCACTTTTAGAGCTGTATGCTAGATACGTGTTTTTTTTTATTTACGCTTGTAAATTTATTAAAATAATCAGAGATTTAAGTTGAACAAAAGCTTGAATTTTACTCTTGAGATATAAACTTATATTTAAGTTACACAGAAATGAAAAGGCACGTTGTTGTTTTTTTTATACAAAGTTTCCAGATCTCATTTCTGTTACTTCTGTAATATTTTGAGCGAAAAATTCAACTTTTTTTTTTGTCCTGAATTTTATCTGCATTTCTGCTATTTTTTTCAGTAGCTTTTTTAGACAGTGATATTTTCCATGCTAAGTTAGCAGCTCTATCTTTAGCCTCCAAATTCACGTACATGTTAGAAATTGAAGTAAATTACATGAACTTAGCAGCACAAGTGAACGTGGGCGTGTTTACATGCACTGCATGGTTTCTAACATTAAGCCAGATTTGAAGAACTCCTGACTGACATGTATTGATCTCCAAAAGTGCCAAAATGTCATAAATGAACCATTAAACTAATTTAGATTTTATTAAAATAGAAATTGTTCAAAAAATAATTTAAACATTTAATTCCCTTATAAAATACACAAGTATTTATGTGAAACGTATTTAAAATAAGTATTTAATTAAAGTATTTCTTCTGCAGGGTGCTGAAACGCTCTTTAAATGTTGCCGTAGCTGACCTTAAAAACAAATTCCAGATGCTTTCAACTCATTTGATAAGAAAAGAATAAAGACTTTTTTTTTAACTAAAATATATTTCTGATTAAATTAAAATTTGAATAAATGTTCGCCTCTTTTGTATTTAATAAAATTATTTTATAATAATAAGTAATCTCCTTAATGATTTTTTTTTTCTGAATTTGGGCACTTTTGGACTTCCATATTAAACAGATTTACGTCATAAAATGATGAATTCAGAGAAATCACCTAACAATTTACTGCAGCGTCCTTCAGTCATTTATGCAGCTCAGTGTTTTCCTCCTGATGAAGGGTTCTGGTCACATTAAACAGGACGACTCACATCTGCCTGATTCATTCAAACATACAGGAAACACAAGAGAAGGAGCAAATTATGCCACGTTTTAATCTTTACTAATAATATTCTAAATACTATCAGGGTGTTAATGATGAGATTGCAGATGAGCTTGAATTGGGGGTTGGTTGGGAGAACAAAAATAGTAAAAGAAACACAGCATGTAAAATATGAAGGAGGACATTTGAAGTTTTAAACATTTTTAATAAAATATCTTCCAGGAAATTTATAGATCATTGGAAAAAAAAAAACATACTGATCCAGCACCTATAAATCAATGCAGAAATGGTTTACTAGAGTAAAGATAAGACTGACGGGATGAGCTGAAGAAGAGAGGATCTTTATAGGAGAAAGGGTTTAGTGATGCCTCTCTCTGTAAGGCAGTTATACAAACCGTTAATAACTGGCCATGATGGCTGTAACTGGACTGTTGGTCTATTAGACGGTAAAGATTATAAAAATTATGTCCTTTTTTATTCCGCTGGCAGAAAACTGGGGTCTTCATAGGACATCTGTTCTCTTCCATCGATGCTGGACTGTTTCCAGCATATATTCAAAGGGCTTTTTCTCTGTTGAATTTAACCTCCTTGCACACATTGAATTTCCTTAAAATCACAATCAAAAAGGGCTTGATTTCCCCAATTAAAAAAATAAAGTCACAATATATATAAATATTTTTTTTAGCAGAAAATACCAAATGTTAGTTTTACTTTATGTAGCCTTGATTGTCGCACCATTATGTGTAGTAATGTAAGGATCAGACAAATTTGGACACCATCAGAGTGAGAGGAGAGGCTGTTATAATAAAATGTAGCACAATAAATAATGAAACAGGTTTTTATATTTTCTAAATAAAAAGTGAAAGAAGGAACTGAGACAGTTTGTCATTCATTTCATGATCCAACAAAACCGTTTCCATTGACTGCTTACTCCCAACTTTCCATGATTGCTGCCATTTTTTTCCAGCAATATCTAAAAGTAAAAGACAATCTTATTGTTCAGTTTCCCAAAATTAAATTACCAAAAGTTAGTCCGATAAAAACAGAATAGAAGCCACAGCAGTCAGCTGAACACTGTGTTCCACTGGTCAGGCCACTCTGGCACCGCTGTCTCCAGGGGTTGGACCACGCTGGACCGCCGCGCCGCCTCACTTACCTGTGTCCAGCCGATAAGCTAGGATTTTATACACATGTTGATGCTCTATTTGCTCCTGCTTGTCAGCGGGCTAAGGTCAAGTGAATCTATGGATATAGATGAGAAAGGAGGTTTCATGTGGAAGTACAGCGCAGGGAAAAGTATTCACACTAAATGTTCTTTACATAAATATATATGTGAATTAGACACATTTTATTTTCAGATACCAAACAGTGCGTCGCCTACCTTTACTCCAACACCCCTAAAAATATATTAAAAACATGTTTAGGAGTCCCCCTAATCAGTTCCAGGTCTGGGCTTTGACTAGGACGTTGTTTGTATGGAAAACATGCTGCCATTGAATCTACCAGAGCAAATGAAGGTTGGTCTTCTTCAAATGTTTGACAAAAACATGCAAAAGTTTAAGGGGCATGTATATTTTTGCAGAAATGCATTCCAGCATCCTTACTGGTGAAGTAGCGGTCTGTCACAGAGGAGCAACACAAACCCACGTCTCTGAGGGGTCGGCGCTCCTCCTGCTGCTTTTCTTTATCACTGTGCTGCCATGTAGTCCTTTTACAAAAGCCCAAGTATTTTCATTTCTTCTATCAGAATCCAAACTTCCAGTGTCGGCTGTTTTCTAAGGATGTGAAGCTACGGAGAAGTAGATCTAACACTGTACCTAGGTCACAGATCACTATGTATGGGGGTGCTGCGCTTTCACTCGTGATGTCATAGATCTAAGGCAGATTTATCAATGTATTTTTATCTTTAATGACTTGATTGCATGTATGCTGACATGTTTGCCATATGCACCACAGTATATACAGTATGAAGTTTCATGGTTTTATTTTCTGTCGATTTTTGTGATCAAACTGGATATTTTTTCTGAACATTAGTGCATATAAGCTGACAGGCTGTCAGAGTATCCAGCTCTGATGCCACATAAAAAAAACACCCCTTCTCTATCTCATCTCCAGTAAATGTTAGGATGTTCCACTCACACAGAGGGGGTTTACATGGAGAGCACACATTACCAGTGAATCCATGGCGATCTCACTAGTAGCTTTTTGTATACTTTTTCACTACCTGTAGTTCAATCATAAGCTGTAGCTGGAGAGGATTTTTTTTTTTTTTGGCATTTCTTTATATCCATATACTCCTTTTCTAATCTGTATAGATAAGTTGTTAGATCCTGTTTCTTAATTTTTTTCAGCAGGTGCCTCTTTCTACACGGTAACGGTCCCTAACGGCTATCCGTCCGATCGTC